TTTACGCACTCATGCGTGAAGCGGACCCCGCTTTAATCTTGCCGCCAGTAAGCCCCGCCCATTGTATATTCCAGATACAGTAGTGAAATCGATCATTGTTGTTTTTGCATGTACATGTTTACAGTGAATATGGAGAACGTTGATAAATTTTCGAGAATTCCACCGTACATCCGACGTAGAATTATCACTTTGAGCGAGAGTGGATTAAACAATTCAAAAATCAGGGACTCAATCATTAGAGAGGACAATGTTTGTGTTTCACGACCCGGTATTTCATTATTTTTGAAGAGATATAGAACAACTGGTGCAATTGACGATCAAAATAGACGTAATGGTGAAGATCCAAGGAAAAAACTTACACAGGAACATTTACAATTCATAGACAATACCATGTCGGATGACCGTGAAAGATCTGCCTCAGAAGTGTCCCGTGTAGTTCGGCAAAGATTTGGAATTACAGTAAGTGACAGTACAATTAAAAGAGCGAGACAAAAAATGGGATGGAAAAGACGTGCCGTGAAATATTGCCAGCAAGTTAGAGTCGCCAACAAACCAAAAAGATTGGACTTTGCTTTACGGTGCGTGACAAGTAATGAACAATTTCAAGACGTCGTGTTTACCGATGAAACAACAGTTAAAATTCAGAATTCTACAAACTATTCCTTTTGGAAAGACGGGGAAGAGATAACCCAACGCCCAAAGCCAAAACATCCATATCAGGTCTGTTTTTCATATCATATTTATTTATTTTGTAAAAAACAGAGACGTAATTATTAAAATGTATATGTATGTCACACGTAAATAACAAGTTTTGAATATCTATCTTTTTTAATCCACACCGTAAATGATAGAATCGCACATAAGTAAAACAAAATACAGACATACATAGACAATCCATGTACACTATAAATACCATTTTTAATCTTTATTTATTTCCTTTTTGGTAATTTTTGATATAAAAAACATAATACATCGTCTGAACACACGAGTTTTTCTCCCCGACTCCGCTACACTGGCAACATTCAATGAATGAACGGAGAGCCGAAAAACCCGTGGGTTCCGACGAGGAAAAAAAAATAATACATGTAAATTACTGCAATCGACCGAAGCAAAAATAAATAAATAAAACAATAAATGTAGTCACTTTATTTTTACAAAGACAAAATGAAAACCTTGCTTACTCTAATCTACCCCCCCCCCCCCCCCCCCCCCCCGGGTGTGTTAAATTAAAAATAAATGTATTCACATTATTTTTACAAAGAAACAATGAAAACTTTGTTTATTCTTGATTTTTGCTAAAATTCTAAACCTCTCCCCACCCCCATGTGTTAGATGAATCAAAAGTTTATAAATTGCATGGGGGTCAAAAAGTTCGTACAAGTATGATCAGAATGAACAATTCAGAGAGTTCCGAATGTCAAGATTGATTCAGCCATTTCAGGGGCCTACCTAAAAACTCCTATTTGTGGTTTTATCAGTTTATTATTTAAGTGGAAGGTACATATACTGCACAAACTAAAAAAAGGTAATTTTTTAGTAAACGTGGTTAATTTTTATTCAACTTTTTCGTACATGTATGTAATGTTAAATGTATTCCCCAAAATCGTACCGGAGCGAATCTACTTTCGTTTTGCTGTAGGCAAGCATCTAAAAAAAATTACTCAAATGCAGTATTGTCATGATTCTTTGAGTTTAGTTCCGGGACCTAGATTAAATTGTACTAGCACTTCTGCATTCTCTGTTGAGAAGTTGATGGCTCGTTTAATACTCCCGCTTGGGGGGGGGGGGGGTATTAAAACCAGCCATCAACTTCTCAATAGAGATCGAATAACCCTGCTGGTGTGTAAAAGAATGAGTGCTGTATACAAATTTCCACCCTTTTACATGTAAAAACATCTTAAAACAACCTGTAGCCTAAAAAATAATAAGTAAACATGTATTATTAAAAATTTTGTTTCTTAGTACATGTTCTAAAAATGTTTTAATAATCATTTTTTTTCCAAATATTGCAGGTGCATGTATGGGCTGGTATTTCCAGGCGGGGGCCAACAGGAATCCATATATTTACTGGGATCATGGACAGCATCTACTACCAACAGATCCTGGAAACAACTTTACTCCCATTCCTGCAGCAACATTACCCGGATGGACACAGACTTATGCAGGACAACGATCCCAAACACGTCAGTCGATCAACCAAACAGTGGATGGAAGACCACAATATCAACCACTGGGTAACACCACCAGAGTCTCCGGATATGAATCCGATTGAGAACATATGGGCAGCTCTGAAGTACCACATCAGACGTAGAGTGAAACCACGAAACCAAGATGAACTCATCAATGGAATTGTGGATTTCTGGAATGGGCTAACTGTGGAACAGTGCAATAAATACATAGACCACTTGTACAAAGTTGTTCCAAAAGTTATTGAAAAGGATGGCAATGCTTCTGGATTTTAAGAAACTGTGACTGTGTTTTTGCTGATGACCAGGGATTGATTTAACTGTGTTGTTACGACAGAAGAACAATGCATTTCATCAAATTGAATAATCGTGAGAATTGTGATTGAGACCTTCCTTTAGTGTCTAAATATGGTGGACATTATTGTTTGAATTCTGTTATTTTTTACAATCACTTTCTTCTTTCACAAATACTTGATAGTTGAATTTGAAACTTCATGCAATTTATTATTAATTGTTACTATTATTGCCTATAGACATTGCAAAAATTTATACATGTATATACATGTAACTGTATAATATACTCACTGTTTTTATGTGTTGAGAGACAGTTCATTACACGAGCATGATGAGGGTGTGCATATAACTTAGTAAAAGGGAGGTATAGATGTTCTTTATTTAGTACATACTTAACCTGTTTTCATAACTTGTAATAATTTTTATAGCAAGTAACAAATCATACCCTTTTTCTTTTACACTCTATTTATTCATCAATATGATAAATCTTTAGATTCATTGTACTAAAATTCAAAAATAATTAATGAAATTTGTGAAATATTTTCCTTTAAAAACAGAACACTTCAAGTATCTTTCTTTTTCTTGGAATATACTCTCAATTTCCTGTCATCAAGATTATGTGATCATGTAACCATGAAAATCAATTTTATATATATACCAAAAATGATATTCAAAAAATCTTGAAGGAAATTTTTTTGCTGTTTGACATGTATTACATTTGAAGGTATGGTTTAAGCAGAGAATGAAAAAGTAAGGATTGCTTGAAAAGAAAAGTTTGCATGAAATTTTATACATGTGTTATAGCAAAATAATATTATTGATACCTTGCAATGTATTCCATTAAATTCAAGAACACATTTTTCTTGTTTGATTATCTCATTTCCCTAAGGTGTGAGTATGAATAGATGGTATTCACATTTACAAAAATTTTATCCCTTTGCATTATCATTCTTGGGTCAACTGACAAAGGTATATTACATCACCAACCCTATAAGGCAATATAAGATGAATATTTCCTTTGATCTATATTATGCTTTATGTTTATGAATATCTAAAATTTGTACAGGTACATGTGAATTAAAGAATATAGTGAAAAAAAAATGGTTGTTGTGTCAACAAAGGGAAATAATTCTTATAAATGTGGAAGTCATCTATTTGCATCAGAACATATTGATTTACGAAGGTTGAGGGATTCTGAACCTTGTACGGTTTCTTTGAATGCACTATGCCTGTATGATTAAGGCCATTATTTAAAAAAAATTATTTGTTTGATGTACTCTGTTCCACATTTTTCAAGATATGTAGGTTTTATAAGAAATTGGCTAAGACTTTTATAGTTGTTATAAAAAGCACAAATCAAGAAATTTTCATTTTGTACACCTGACAGCTAAACAGGTTTAATATTTTTTTTTTCAGATAAATCTTTTAATGGAAAAAGAATCTTTGTAAAATTATAGACCTTAACTTTAAAAATAGTATAAATAATCTTTCTTAACTGAAAAAAAAGAATTTAAAGTACCATTTTGAAGGATAAAAATGATTGAGTAACAGTATTTTGAGAAGTTGGTCAGAGTACATTAAACAAATCATTTTTTTTGGCCTTATTCAAATATAACTGGACAAAATTAACACAATTAAACTAATGATTTTCAGTAATTTATTCAATGCTAGAATAACACAACAAGATTATTGAAAATAACACTGTGCTAAGGAAGTACAGAAGTGTCTGGTACCACATTCTCCCTTTGCTATTTTCATTAGTCTTAAAAATAGAGGCCCAGTATGATTGCTCTCATATTTTGTCAATATAAAAAAATAAAAATAAAATCAGACTGGTTGTTAATAATAGCTTGCATGTTTGTCACCTTATGACTTTTTGGGGTTAATTGATTAGGAGAACATGGTACTTGAACAATTAAAAATTAAAATACAATATGACAAACAATGATGGCTTCCATGATTTCATCACTGAATAATAGCAACAATAATGGTTAATACCAATTCATAAACTCTGAATAAAAACATTTTATTAAAAGTGAATAACAAGTCAGATAAATTATGATTTATGGCTCAATTCAATGTAGAAAACACTACTATCTACAAAAATCAGAAAAATTCATTGATAAAATTTCACATTATACATGTAACTGCTATTCAGTACAGGAAGGTGTCAGAGTTATTAAAAAATTCAGACATGTTTTTAAACAAGTCACTTGTCATAATATCAATTAGGTACTATGAGGGGCAATAAAGATCAAAGATTCAATGTCTGACAAAAAACTAACATAATTCTTATTAAGAACCCCTTCCTTCATGAATACTGATTATCAAGTACATGTGTACTAATATTCAATACACTATAATTGACAGTTCTTTAAGCTGATGAAAAAACATTTCAGATATCAATACTTAAATTCTCATAATATATAATTTTGGTTTTTATTGATATCAAACAACAACTTCTAGAGCTTTTTATCAACCTACCAAAAAGTATTTGAACAATTTTTTTCTTTGGTAGAC